GGCGTGTATGATGGCGCGGGGAGAGCCGTCCCGAGCCGCGCCGTTCGCGGGAAAAAAGCAGAGTCAGTGTTGCCGAGCGGATGCGCGTGCGCCTCGGCCTGCCCAGTACTTCTCCCGGACGTTCACCTCCCTCCAGGCCCTTACTCCTTCGACCCCCACTCCCGCTCATTATATTTGGCTAGCGCACCCAACTCCCGCGCAGCCGGAGCATTCTGGGATCGACAGTTCTACTACTATCTTCTGATAGTTCCTTACCTACGCGCCCCGCACAGGGCCTAACGTACACCGCTCACGCGCGTGCGCGTACTTGGGCATAACCATGTTGCCACAGGTCGCTACACACGTCTTTCACCACACAACCCGCGCCGTCGCGGCGGCGCCCCTCAGGAATGTCCTCGGCACCACAACCGCGCCGGACCGCGCTCACGGGCACGGTGCTGGCGCCGGCGGCAGCAAGTACCATGCGGGTAGTCGGTTTTACTCGGGATACCAGGTAAGGATATATGCAAGTTCTGTGGTATCAATTGTGGTCCTCGGAATGGGGAAGGGTATCCGCTAGGACCCGCGTACTCGCCCAAGCACACCGTCTGGCAGGCTGGTTGCACGGCGACCTGGAAATTACAATGCACATCTCCCATTGGACGTGATCCCATTCCGCATGAACCCTCGAAATTTCTCTGCCAATCACCGCACTGGGCGTCTAGACGAATGATCTTCTCACGGTATATTTCCACAGGGCCCTGGCCGGGCGGTAACCCAGGCGAACACGACGACGGCCAACGACGCTCCGCAGGCGGACGACGAGGACTTCCGCGCTCCTTCGAGCTCGAGCCGTCGGATTCGCACGCGTTCCTCCAGCTACTCTCTCGGCTCAGGCGCCCATGGCCGCACCGCACGGGCACAGAGCCTCGGCGTTCTCCGGGCAGTGCAGGCGCATTACCATTCGCGTCAAGTTTTCGCGAGCATCCCTCGTCCTCTGTTGACGGCCGCTCCTGCAGCTGTGGAGGAGCACGAGATCGAGCGTCCGGCAACTCCCCGCCTGGTTCGCAGGAATTCGACTGCTAGTACCGTCTCGTTGTCGAGCGCTGCCGATGAGCCTCTACCAAGCTCAAGACCGGCATCGCCCAAACCGCCACTTGCTACGGATCCCGCCGCGCCACAATCTGTATTCCCGCCTGAACTGGAACAACAGACGGAGACGGTCAGGCTCTTGAATGTGGCCAATGGTAGACCTCAGGAGGTCAGTAGTCTTCATCGTCTGTATTCATTGTGGACGCGTACTTAGCCTTTTCACCACAGATTCGCGCCGCCATCGAGCGTCTTCGTGCACCGGAGACGAAGTCCGTCGTCTCCGAGTGGAATGCGGCTATCAGTGCACTCGCCTCCATTCGTCTCTCCACGGAGCCGTTGTCCGAGATTCTGCAATTGTACAACGACATGGTCGACCGCAACATTCGCCCAGATCTCTCGACGTACAAGATTCTCATGGACGTGCTCTTGAAGCGCGAGTCCGACGTGCGGAAGAACATCACCCAAATCCAAGATCGTATCGCCCGCCGCAAGGTTCTCAACATCGATGAGTCCCTCAGGGAGCAGCTCAACTTCGCGGACCGTCAAGCGATCGCTGCACTCGAAGTTGAGAGCAACTACTCGTCTGCCATGGCCATCTTCCGGACCGTCAACACCGTCGAGGGATGGCGCTTCGAACGCCGGACGTACCTCGAGCTTCTCGAGGCTACGGCCAAACGCGCCGATATCGAGAGCTCCCTTCTGATCTTTGCACACATGGAGAAGCTCAAGGTCAAGGCGCAGGCCATGCAGTTCGCATTCCTCGTCAGGGCGTACACGAATGTCGGCGATTACGAAGGCGCGAGGGTTGTCTTCGAGGAGGCGCAGAGGCTCCAGAAGGAGAAGGTTTTCTCATTCGGCAAGAACGTCAACGATGGCCGCGCGCACGTCATCGACCTCTACAACGACATGATCCGCTCTTACATCCTCGCTGGCGACGCATCGACTGCCCTGGCGCTCCTGGAGAAGATGATGGACACCCCGAACGGCGTGGAGTTCAACGCCCACGAGACGCCGTGCCCGTCTGCAGCAACGTATGACACCATCGTCGAGGCGTTCTGCGAGGCGAAGGACCTCGACAGTGCCCACTCCTGGTATCAGCAGCTCGCTCACAACGGCCGTGCCCTGCAGCAGCCGCGTCCCTGGCCGCTTGGCTATGCGCCGCGTGTGAGCTCGATGCTCTTCCTAAAGCTCATAAACGCGCTCGCTTTGGATGGGCGCGTCGAGGAGATCAACCAACTCGTGGAGACACACAACCCCCGATTCTTCCAGATGCCCAACGCCTTCCGGTACCTCGTCTACGCCGCCAACATCAGCGATCTGCAGGACCGCATGCCGCCGCCCGCCGTCATCAACGAGCGTCTGGACTGGGTCTTCGCGTCAGTCCTCAGCGACAGGGAGTTCGTCTACAAGGTCGCGCTCGACTTCGGGATGGACAACTCGCCTTTCGTGTTCGAGCCTGCTGTTCAGCTCTACGTCCGTGCCGGGAACTACGCCCGCGCGGCGGATGTTGCGCTCCTCTGCGTCGACGGTCAGCTCAGGGAGAAGGCTATGTTGACGATCCGCGGCGCGTGGGGTCGCGGTGACAGGCTCTTGACGGCGCTTGTGGTCAGCCACGAAGGCACACCTCTTACGCCGGCGCTTCGCGATTTGACGCCTGCGTTCCTCGGCTGGAGAAATCGCAGGCTTCGCCTTCCGCAGGCGTTCATCGAGGGTGTCATGCGCGCGTTCGACAACGAGATGGCACAGGGCAACGCAGCCCAGTTCACCCGCGAGGAATGGAACATGGTCAACACGCTTCTGCCGTACGCCTCGTCTGTCGAGGACCCGAACGTCGTCGGCCGCATTGAGAGCGCGATGAAGGGGATGAAGGAGGCTGAGCTTCCGGCGCATTATACTATGCGCCTCGTTCGCTCTCTCTTGAACATCGCGGGCTCCGAACACACCGAAGCGTTCCTCGCCACGCTCGGTCCGGACTGGGCAGCCCTTCTCCCGCGCGTGTCGGCGCCTGCGACTCCCGAGCTTACCACCGCGGAGACGCAGTCCGTCGACTCTGCTGAGATGTCGGCTGAGCGCGAGAGCGCGTCGACACCCGCTACGGAGGTTTCGGCCACGATGGAGCCGGAGACCGCAAAACTCGACCGCTACTTGGGCGGACAGGTTATCGAGCTTACGGCGCGCAAGGCGTCGAGTGAGGAAGTTGACGAGATGTTCCACATCCTCACGTCGCAGGCGCATCAGGGCGTGTACACCTTCCCGCGCCCGTACGCGCTCTTCCTCTCTCTGCTCGGTCGCCGGCACGATATCCCGCGTATGGAAGCGATCTACGCTCTTGGTCATCTTGCTGTTCCGCTTTTGCAGGAGCACGAGCAGCGCGATGGGTGGAGGGTACTGGAGGACGCCATGATCATCGGATACGCGCACGCCGGGGAGCCTCAGCGCGCCGACGTCCATCGCACGCGGCTGCTCGACGAGGGTATGACGCCCACAGCCGATGCATACGCCGCGCTAGTCCAGGCCGTACACGCCACGACGGACGACACCGCCAACGCCATGGCCTACTTCGACGAGGCGCGCGCCCGCGGCGTCCAGCCCAACCTCTTCATGTACAACACCGCCATCTCCAAACTCGCCAAGGCCCGCAAAGCCGACCAGGCGCTCGAGCTGTTCAAGGAGCTCAAGGAGTCGCACGCGAAGCCCAGCGCCGTCACGTACGGCGCGCTCATCAGCGCGTGCTGCCGCGTGGGCGATATTTCGAACGCGGAGAAGCTGTTCGAGGAGATGTTTGCCAACACGCACAACGGAAGGTTGAGGGTTCCGCCGTTCAATACGATGATGCAGTTCTTTGTGCATACGAAGCCGAATCGGGGACGGTTTTTGCAGTATTATTCGAGGTTGAGGAGGGCGGGGATCGCGCTTACGGAGCATACCTACAAGGTCAGTCTTATTTCTCATCGTTGTTTGTATACTTGTACTGAAGGACTCATAGCTCGTTCTCGACGCGTACGGTACCATTGAGCCCATCGACTTCAACGCTATGGAGGCAACCTTCGATGCGCTCTGCAAGGACCGCAACGTCAAAGTTCACGGTGTACACTGGGCCTCGCTCATCAACGCGTACGGCTGCGCCGGAAAGGACCTCCAGAAGGCTATCGATATCTTCGAGTCCATCCCATCCCACCCGCACACCGTGCACGGAAACGGCCCGGTCCGCTCGGCCGTCGTCTACGAGGCGCTCTTCAACGTCTTCATCACGCACCACCGCATGGACCTCGTACCGGCCTACCTCGAGCAAATGCAAGCCGAGGGCTCATATCTCACCGCATACGTCCTCAACCCGCTCATCCGCGGCCATGCGCTCGTTGGCGATATCCAGTCCGCACGCGCGATTTTCGAGAATATGGTCGACCCTCCTTCGGGCGTCGCAGCGCCGAACAACCACGCTGCGCACGACGCGACTCAGGGTGCTCCGCAGACTGTCGGCTCGCAACCTGGTGCACCTGTGTACCGCGAGCCGTCGACGTGGGAGGCTATGGTCCGCGCCGAGCTCGGCCAGGGGAACCGCAACGAGGCGGTTGCTTTGTTGGAGAGATTGCGCGAGAGGCATTATCCGGAGAGCATCTACAACCGCATCAGCGGTATCATGCTCGACGACTCGGTCTCGCCGTGGCCCGCGACGATGAGCTCTGACCACCCGCTCGCGTCCGCCTCGGCATAGTCCCATGTCTCCAGCTTCTCGGATCGTTGTGGACCGTCCTCGTCGTCGCTATGCTATCGCGCTATCCTACACACCCTCGCACGCCTGCTACATGTCATGCTTGTTATGCTCGCTCACGCTCACGTACTTATCCTGCTTCACCGTATCGTACACACCCTGCTATTGCTGTCTCGGTTCTGCCCTCACCGTTTACGCCCGCACGCACCCACTGCACCCTCCATTTAAAATGTATCATTTATCCTAGTTCATCATGGCTGGTTGCTGTTTGCTGCTGGTTCTTATACCTACATTGCGTACTCTTTCATGATCACGCCGATGCCATTCATACGCGGACGCGTCGTTTGTGGTTGATGATGCGATGATGCACCACCACTCTGCTCATTCCTCGTCGTTTGCTGTGGGACTGAGCGTACAGTAAGCTCGACTAGAAGAGGTGGTTTATGGTCAGACGTATGGCAGTTCGAGCATAACCCTTGCGAAAGCGAATTCATCGCCCACAAGCCGGCGCGTCGACGCGTGACGTCACGCGTCAAACATCGCGTTCGCCTCCTCTTCGTCCCTCTTGCTTTCGACCACCATGATGACGCGTCCTACCACTCTGGCTTATCCCTCAGCTATCAGCTGCATAGGACGAGGTTTACGGTGTGCTATAATTATGATTGCTGGAAGAAGCATGCAGACGCACGGCCGAGCGCGATGATACGCCTGAATCCATCCTGGTCCGATCGCGATTTGGAGCCGGGGCTGGCGACCGGTATTCGTGTGTTGTCAAGCTCCCCCGTCCCCACATATGGTATCCAAAAAGACGGGCATCTCTTCTATATATGCTTTTCTGCACTATGTGGGCTGTACCGGAGAGATGTAAGCGCCTAGATCATGGCCTTTTCCCCTTGGAATACTGAGTCTCGCACCCGGTCCTTAGCGCAGGCTATGACGCCCGTCATGTCTTGGACTGCTCTACAGGATTACAACTGATCTTGCCACGGATAGTCTTTCCCAGGCCAACTCCATACAACGCTATATAGTCCTGGTAACCCATGACGACTGTTCTTCATCTGAGTCCTATCCACGCATCTCCCACCTGAGCTTGCACTATCCCGTCTCCTCTCACAACTCCTTGACTCACAACCTCGTATACTCTCTATCAATGGCATCTACCAGACAACAACGTGCTAGTCAACAAAGCGTTCTCGAAGCCGCACGCTGGGGAGCTCACTGCTCGCGTGAGGAGCCCGGGCCGGCCAACGCGCCGATGACGAACGCAAGCCGCTCGGAAGGACCAACCATCCCTACCAGCGGCGCGAGATACCACCGCGCCCGTGCCCCACGACCTGCAGTTCGCACTGCTAGCGTCGTGGGCATCGGCTGCGACATGATCTTCGCTCCCGTCGGTATGTCTCCTAACAACCTTGTCAGTCCGTATCTGAATCTGAACTGACGTTGTTGTCTGGGCAGGTTGCTTCTCCACGCCGCGCGTCATCCATATGCCCGACACTCGGCCTATTGACTGGATGTTCACGAGCTTCGACGAGCTCAAGCCTCTCGCCGTCGTACGCGAGGAACTGCGTCAGGCCGTAATGCGCTGCAGAGAAGCGGAACATCAAATGTTCGGCTCTGAGTCTGCTCGCCTGGTAGGCATAGGCGGTCGTCGTCTCTACCCTGGTGAGGCGCCGCCGTTTTGAAGGAGGGAGGTGGAAAGGCGTCGTTGGGGGAGTTGTTGGAGGTTCGGGTGTAGGGTGGATGAGGACCGTACAGGATCACGGGACCTTTGACCATACCTTCTACACTCGCCGGATTAGGCAGGCATCACTGCTACGCCCGCTCTGGCAATACACTCTTTATAGACTGAAGCGGCGATGGGCGAGTCTGGCCACTTCAACCTGAGCTCTAACGTGTATCGCATCGGCGATGCGCGCTGGATCCAATCTACGTCTGTAGGCGTCTCCGCCCGCCCTCGTCATTCTCCTCCTCACCTTAGGCATCGCCACAATGCCCGCGCCTCGTCTACACCATACATCACCGCACAAGCCCAAACGGAGGAGGTCATATATCATATACTCTCAGGCACTTGGCTGTCGCACCAGCTGGCCCGGAACTTCCCCTCTCTTCCAGATCGCTCTCTCTCGGACTGCTAGCTCTCGCTACGTTGTTTTGTTTGCTACTTCACCTGCTTTGTCATTGAATCATCATCGTTGTTGTCATTTCTCTGAGTACTCTTATCTCTCCATGTATCCATCATACGCTCCCCATCACACGCTATCTCACTGCCTCAAGATGCCGTTACGGCTCAGTGCGAGGCTGTCCACCTCAATCCAAACTTCTGTCTTGACAACAACGCCGCTATCGTCTCAGCCGTACCAATCTTTCCCGCAAGACTATCAATGAATATAACCGGATAATACATATACGTGAATGAGGATGGTTGACTACAACCCTACAACCTTGCATTCTTCGGCATCTTCTTAAGCGCCTGCCTAACACCCAAATCGCCCATAACATCCTCCGCGCCACCAAGAATCGCATCGAACGGACTCGTCCGATGATAGTTCTCCACGAGCTTGCCCATCCCGCTCTGCGTGATACCGCGTCCACCGAAGACCTGTACTGCGTCCTGTGCCGTTGCGCGGCCGGTGGAGGTGATGTGTTGTTTGAGGAGGGCGATTGGGCCGGCGAGGTGCTCGGACATTTGGGCGTAGGACATCTGGGGGCGCGGTGTGGGGTTAGTGTGGTGTGCGAGGTGTTGGGAAAGGTTAGTGGGACGTACGTTGTTCATTTGGAAGGTTAGAGATTCGAGCCATGCTTGCGCACCCTCGACGCGGGCGACCATTTGTGCGATACGAGCGCGTACAACGGCCTGTGAGCTCAACGGCTTGCCGAAGACTCTGCGCTGATTCGCCCACCTGCACGAAAGTCAACATTGGCAACACACAAACGGCGAGAAACGAGGAACTTACAGTAGACACTCCTCGACGATACGTCGCTGCGTGCTGAGCGACATGCTCATGATCATCCATCGCTCATGGTTGAAGTTCGAAAGGATGATCTGGAGTCCTTGCCCGACCTTGCCCAGCGTGTTCGCCACTGGTACGCGCACCTTGTCGAAGGTGACGTATGCGGTACCGGCGGTACTGGAGTAGCTCGTCTTGATTGCCTTGGTCTCGAGGCCTTCGCCGCGCGGGACGAGAACAGCGATGTAACCTTCCGGAGTGCGGCAGCCAACGGTGAAGAAGTCCGCGAAGGTGCCGTTCGTGATCCACCTACAACCATGCGGGCAATGAGTATAGTCAACGGTGTAGACGGATGCGAGACGCACTTTTTTGTGCCCTCGATGACCCACTCGTCGCCCTCCCGTGTTGCTGTCGTCTGCAACCCAGCGACATCGCTTCCCGCGAACGCCTCGCTGATAGCAAGAGCGATGAACTTCCTCCCCGCCAATACATCCGGCACGACCTTCGCCTGTATCTCCTTGGAACCATAGTTGAGCACAGGCGGCAAGCCAATCACGCCACCCGCCAGTACACCGTCGACGTAGCCGCGCGTACTGGTGCGTGCGAGCTCCTGATTGATGATAAGCTCATGGAAGCAGTCAAACTCCTCAGGCGTGATAACGCCGCCCATAAGCTTCATCCCCCTCAAATGCGGACCGGGGCCGATACGCATGGCGAGGATCCCGTTCCCGCAGAGCTTCTCGACGACGTCTTGACTGATCCGTTTCCCGTTCTCCTCGCATTTGACCGCATCGGGCGCGACGACTTCGTCTATGAACGTGCGAAGCGCCTTGTGGAAGCGCCGGTGCGAGTCGGTGTAGTACGGGCTCTTGAAGCCGGCGGCTAGCCAGGTCGGCTCCGCGTAGGGGACGCCGCTCACGCCGCCGGCTGCTCGGGCTTGGATCGTTGGCTTGTCGTCGCGGATGGTGCCGATCACGAGGCGCGCGTATTGAGGGCGGAGGAGTACTTCGTGTCGGTGAAGGCCAAAGAAGGCTTCTGTTGCATCTTTGCCAGCTAATTGTATAGAATGGTGAGTACGGGTACTGTGGCACCCATAGACAATATCGACGCACCGACAGAAGAGACTTGTAGCACGGCTTGACCTCCGGGATGCATGGCAGCGAACCTGGATATGTCATAGACTTGCGCGTCAATGACTATCCATAAGTCGCCTTCTTTATTATGCTGCAGCCGTCCAGTGTACGTGTGAGTAAAGTGTACAACGCGTACACGCGAAGGAACGTACCTGTGCGACCTCCTCGAGCGTGTACGTCTTTGACGCCTTCTGTGGTGCAGCCATGTCGGTTACCTCGGTCAGACCGAAGATGGTAGTATGATTATAAGCCGTAGCCGCCGTCGGTCAAGTGGTCGAGCGACGGTCATGGTAGTGGTCCGGGGTAACCGTTTCACATGCCAGCGCCGCAGAAGCAAGTGCGGGGTTGGCCAATCGCGAGGAGACGCTGACTTGCTTCCGCCCACCATTGCTCGATGACCTCGACGAATCGTCGCCACCTTCAACTTCTCAAAAGACAGCTGACTATACTCTATGTCCGAGTTGCAATGCGTATTATGATAATTGGATATGGTAAAGATGACATATGCAAAGAAAACAGATCTCAGCCGTACATGCAGATATATATGATTGATCAGTCCTTAGCGCTCGCGTAGGAGTGCATCTCCTTCGACGGGATGATCCCCTAGTCGTCGATCTCGGCAAGAACATTTGTACCAAGCAGCGACGCCAGCCCCAACTTTAGGTTGGGGAGCGCCGCCTCGATACTGAGATTGGGTTGCGTCCAGTCCTCCAGCGTCTGCGCCTCCGACCAGAGCTCGACGGCGACAGACTGGAACGTATACGCGCTGTCAGGCGTGCCACACAACGCCAAGAGCTCGCGCTTCGCGACCTTGTTCTCGCGTTCCAATACGTCGCACTCGCGGCCGGCGAGCAGCCTTTCCCGCGCGTTCGCCCCGAGCTCCTGCGCCAAGACGCTCATCTCGCGCACCTCGACGAGCTCGTTGCGCAGATCGATCTTTGCCTCGCGCTCCTCGAGCCTCTTCCTGTCTTCGTCGAGGGCCATCTGCAGTCTCTCGAGCTCCTTCTGCTTCGCATAGGTGTTCTTGATGCGTTCCACGACTTCTTCCTCGATCTTTGCGATCTTCTTCTCCCGGAGCATGACCTTGTCGAGCCTGATCTTTGCCTGCTGTTCAAGCAGCTCGGCACGGCGGCGCTCAATGCTCTCGTTTGACATCTCAAGCTTCCGTCGCTCTTCCGAATTCTCGTTGCTGGACTGAGCGAGGATGGATAACTCGCGGGCGATTTCGACCTCGTTCAAGATCTCGTTCGTTGGCTTCAGAGACTTTGGCGGTGCGGGGACGACGCTGTCAGCGGACATCGCAGTGTGCGGGTACAACGGGTAGATGTGTGATAAGCGGTGGGTGGGTGGGTGAAGAACGGTGGGTAGAAGAGTAAACGAGGAGGCTGGTGTGGCGATAGATGCTCAGGAGGGCAGCTACTTATAGCAATCGTCGAAGTAACCACATCCACATCTGACCTAGCGACGATCGTTCAACCACAGTCGTTGCTAAGTAATGGGCTTCATTGTGGCCCGGTGAGTCAGAAATACCGTGACATTGATCGTTAAAGCTCAAAGCGTCTAACCACATTGGCCATACGAGAGTACACAACGTTCAGGCCACAATCTCACAACATCTCATGCCATTGTCCATATCCGAAATAAGATCATACCCGGTTGCCGTCGCAACCCGCCCCCACCACGAAACCCTACCCTTCTCGACGCGCGGATTCTGTACGCCCTCGACCGACATCCCTCCCACACTTCCTCTGACTCTCCCTCTGATACAGCGCCCAAAACTTCGCCATGAACGCATCCGTATCATCCGTGTCCGCCGCCCGAATCAGCTCCCTGCGTGCCAGCGCGAGCTCTCTGCAGCCCTTCTCTTCGCAATCGTCTTCATCGAGGATCTCCGTTCCGTCCAAAGAGACTGAGTCCAAGCTCGACGGCGCAGGGCTACCAGTGTCTACTGGATTGGAGGGGTCATTGTGTGTAGGGGTGTGTAGGGGTGGGGTTGAAGTTGGATTTGCATGTGAAGCGCGCTCGCGCGCGGCAAGTGTTCGCTCGTACTCCTCTAGCCGACGTTGATGTTCCAGTAGAGCTAGCTCGCGCTCGATGATGTGATGTTCGCGCTGCACGATGTGGAGTTCGCGTTCGAGAAGAGAGCTTGTAGGCGTGCGCATTGTGTTGCTAGCTGGGGATGCGAGTGTGCAAAGTCGTTGCGTTTGGGCACATATACTGCGTAGTGTGCCTTTGTCGTGTAGACGATGACAACGATGGCCCACAAAGGTGCATCAGGACGCCAATGTGGTAGCCTTTCGGGCTGATGTCTTTCTTACCCTTTGAGAAAGCAAGGAGACGGATAGATACACTAGCCGCAGCGTAACTGATCCCCTGTCGTTGCGTGCCAATATACGCGAGCTTACATCCCGGCTAAGAGCTGTCATGATGATGCCATGCGTATAGTCCAGATGTCGTAATTGGGTTCGCCAGGTTTCCTTTCAGCGGTAAAGAGATCCCTCATAAGACAGATGCGCATGCAGGCGCATGAGTGCAAAGAGTGTTGGTAACATGGGTTGAGTACACGATAATGAGTACTTGAGGCAAACGACCACAACGCGGGGACTGTTGATCATCGGGACCCGGACCGACCGACGTGGATGGGTCCAGGGCTCAGTGACGCGTCGCGTTCTGCCCGCGACGTCCACGATGTCGTTGTCGAGTGGTCATGTCTGGCTTCAAAACCCTATGTAATCACGTATTACATATGCTCTACGTCTATCAACGTTATGCATTGCTCTCAGAAGCCTGAGAGAGCGCAGTGCTTCGGCTCGACAGCGTGTTTGCGCAGCTATCTCGATGAGTCGTACTCTTCACCGACTCATCCTAGCAATGTTGTGGCCATGTCAATAATGCTCTCTTAAGGGTCAAGGTTATTTGTTCATGAAGCGTATATGTGACAACGGTATCCTACTGGGCCGCATAACAAGTTTCGCCTACGCCAGGTTTGGACTGGGACTGACACACAAGGGTCTAAGTTGTCTCGGCCTAGAAGACGCTAACGTATAACTATCGCAGGAAACAGAGCACATCCCCATCGAATACAGCCCGTACGACCAGCACAACGCACACAACGCAACCAACCGCAACCACCGCAATCACTCTCGCTTTCTTCGCCATGAACTACCTCGCCCTCTTCACTCTCTTCCAGGCCATCATCGCCTCTGTCAAGGAGACCACCGGCGGCTTCGAGCTGGATCTTACGGCTCGTATCAACCTGCATACCGGCTACTTCCTCAACGCTCTTCACACCATCGGGTACTCGCACTACGGCATTCTGACCATTGGCGCCGGCGACAACAACTCGGATACCCTTGCCTTCGGCGATGACTTCGCTCCATCCCCGTCGGCCACCATCACCGGCCTCCTCGTACCCTTCGCCGCAGCATCCCCCAACGGTGTGGAACTCTGCATCGCACCCGAAGTATGCCCTCTTCCCTCCGGACTTCTTCGAGGGCTACTCGTTCCGCTCACGTCCACACAAACCTCGCTGCCCGATATCGACACCCTCCGCAAGGACCTCGTCGTGGTTTCAACCCGCATTCCTCTCAAGCCTCTTGTCTTCCACTCCACCGTCTATTCCGCCTACATTCAGTCTTGCATCGTTCTCGTTCTCGTCCTCTTCGTTTTCGTCTTCCTCAAGTTCTTCAAATTCTCCCGGCATATATTCTCTCGTCCCGGCGCCACTCCTACGCGTCGCACCATCTTCCGCAGAACACATCTCCAGGCCCTTGTGCCTCTTGATGTCACCCAGGTCTGTCTAGCTTCGTCCATGACCTTTGCATCGCGACTGACACACTTCACAGATCACGATTTCTACCGCCCTCAGCACTTCTCTCCCCATAAACGTACGTTCATCTCTTCACATCTTTTCACGCATGTGACTAACCCTCACGCATAGATCACTCCCCATTCGCCTGCCATCATCGATATTTCCGATCCAGAGGCCGTCGTCGGTCTCTTCTCCATCATCGCCGAACAATCTTATCAACTAGCCGCATTCGACGCGCACATCAAGTCCCAGGACCTCATCATACACGATCAGAGCCAGACTATCGCATCCGTCTCATCCGAGCTTCAGGCCTCCCAGACTTTCGCTGCCGCTCAGAGCTGCACGATCACCGGCTTGCAATTTCAGCACGCTGCATCCCAAGCGGCTTCTATGGCTCAGAACCAGGAACTCTGCGACAATCTGGCTGCGGAAAAGCAGGAGAACGAACGACTTCGCGCGGAGAACCGGCATCTTCAGGACACCATCATCGCATCGAAGGCGGACAACGCGCTCTCTAGCCAGGTCAGCACTTCTTCTCCCCTCCAGTCCTCCCCGTCAGTGTGCTTATCCTTCTACAGATCATTGTCAGGATGAGCGAGGAAGCCTCTGCTGCTCAAGAAGCCTCCGAATCCGCACTCGACGCCGCTCATACCGAGAACGCATCCCTCAAAGACCTCGTCTGCACTCAGAACAACACCATCGCCGAACGGGACGCGACTCTCACCAACGTCATCGTCACTATCGCGTTCGCATCAATTGCCAACTCCTCTCTCCGGCGCCAGCTTCGCGGCAAAGCCCAACGGGTTACCGCGCTCACGAGCCAAGTACAGACCCTCCAAACCGATTCAACGAACCAATCCGCTCAGCGCACAGTGGAGATCAAGAACCTGACGTCCGCGCACGCCACCGAGTTGTCCATCGTCTCCGATGAACTCCAGGACTCACAGGCGCAGCACGCACACACGCAGCACAGCTTGACCGCCACTCGAGAGAAACTAGCCCAGACTCAGGCCGAGCTCAAGTCCGAGCGCATCAGTTCTGACTCTCTTCGAGCTGTAGTCTCCAAGAAGACGGGCACGATCCGCGAGCTGCGACGCGCCGGGTCTGAGCTCATTATCATGTATGAGGAGCGCATCGCTCTACGCGATACAATCAGTCTTGACGTGGCTAAGGTATGCCCACTCGTCTAAGCATTCCTTCGTTTGATGCTGACTGGCTTCTCAGGCTGCGACTCGACTTGAACGCTCTCGCGGCGACAAGCGTCTTGCTGAAGAGCAGGCCCGCTACAAAGAGCTTGAAGCGCGACTGGCAAAGCCTCATACTGTACGTCACTTCTTTTGTATGTGCTTTTGCCCTTCCTGATCGTCATTCAGACATCTATCCCTTCATCGAACTCTCTACACAGCCTCAACGACACACATGCGCGCCTTTCCGCGCGTCCATCTCATGGCAACCTATTGGATGTCAACATCTCCGTCTCTGCCTCGCTCGCTGCCATGCCTAGCTTCACCTCTATCTGCGCCATCGCAGCAACATCATCTTCTTCTATCTCGGCGCTCGCTACACAGCCCGTCAACATGACATCGGTCGCTCGTACCACGACGGTACCCTCTCTCTCCGCACACGCCAAGAACGGTGTACGCAAACCTCCGACGCGCAAACCTAGCGCCCCATCTACGAAGCCCACGAAGCCTACGCTCAGGACCCAAACCAGGGCTGGCAAGGAGAACACGCTTTCTACCAAACCGGCCGCCAAGGTCTCTACGTCACGTGCAAGCTCGCGCCTAACGTCCAAACGCCCTGCACTCGCTTGAGCGCATTTCTCGTATTCGTGATATCCCGCACCACGCCCTCCTCTACATTACACGGCCATCCATACCTACACAAGAATGTCTCCCTTCCGCACATACCGCTACGATACATAAGTACTTCCGTCCTCGTGACCGGGACGGTACTCCTCCGCTCCATGCCTCGCAGAGAATTACCTACAGTGCCTCTATTTCTCGATCTATCGAATTGTCCCTTTGAACATACGCCGCAGACAAACGTTTCTTGTTGTTCGTAAGTTGCACAGTCGCTGCTATCGTCGTATGCGATACAGTTACATGAGTTATCAGGCAATGTATGCGTTCGAGGACACTTTGCCGCGCGTCTCCGTCGGAACAACCACACCTGCCATGCTTCCGCAGTCACAGCTACCGGCCGGACCTCCCTGGACCTCCTCGATGGGCTACGATAGCGCAATCGCGCAGCGCTGCCGCCGTGCCGCCGGAGGTTACGCGTAAGCCCTGTATAGCCTCCCGAAGAAGTATAAAAAGGGCCCTACAGAACGCACAGAGAGATCCAACCCCTTCGCGAGTTGCAAACAGCGAGCATTCCTCTCCTAAGTCTTCTTCGTGAGCCTACCCGAAAGCACACCCGAAAACACAACATCACATACTCTAAGCAAACCATCTAAGTCTACATATCATGTTCAGTTTCCCCTACAACCATCGTGAGGAGATGAGCGGCGAGTTCCCCCACATCAGCCATCCTGAGTTCGTTGAGAGCCTGCGCGGCGGTCGCGGTGGCCATTTCCACGGCCGTGGTCGTCGTAACCACGGTGGCCCGCCTGGTTTCGGGCGCGAGCACCATGCTGAGTTCTTTGCCGGCCGTGGCCGCGGTGGTCGCGGACGTGGCGGCTTCCGTCATGGCGGGCGTGGACGCCACAGCGCCAGTGAGTCTGACGGTGATGAGTACGCCGAGCTCGTCAAGAGGTTCCGTGAGATGGGACATGGTCACCGCGAGCACAGCCGCCGCCGCTTCGGCCGTCGTGAGCGCGAAGTTCGTGAGGGCGATAAGACGCCAAAGGGCTACGCCGTCGAGAGCGACTCTGAGGACTTCGTCGACGTCGACGGTGAACGTAAGGATAACGACAACGACAACGACAACGGCGCCGCTTCCCAGGCTCCTGGTGAGCGCGGCTGGGGACGTCGCGGTCATCACCACTGGCATGGCCGCTACGCTCATGGCTTTGCTGGCCCTGGCGAGTTGGACTTCGCCCCGCGTCGCGGTGGGCACGGCCCGCACGCCTTCATGATGGGCCCGCCCCCGCACGGCCCCCACTTCTCCCATCACCATCACCCAGGCCGCCACGGTCACTTCAAGAAGCCCTTCCCGCGCGTGGACATCTTCGAGTCAGAGAAGCAGTACGTGCTTGAGATCGAGGTTCCCGGTGTGCGCAAGGACGTCATCACCGCGCTGGTCAGTGAGGACGGGCGTAGCATCACCGTCGAGGGCACCTTCCCCGCCCGTGCTGAGGGTACGCTTGAGCGCGTGTATGGCGAGCGTCGCGTCGCGCCTGGCGAGAAGTTCGCGCGCACGATCCCGCTTCCGGGCCTCGTCGACAAGGAGAACGTGAGCGCGAAGCTCACAGACGGCGTGCTCATCGTGGCGCTCGACAAGGTCCAGGTTGAGGAGCCCAAGGGCACGGTCATGGTCATTGAGTAGGCGAGTGGGGTTGCGTTCTCCGTGCTGACTGTCTGTGGTGATATTTTTGTTGTATTGGCCTATGTAAGGTTCGAACGGACTGTAGAGTTACAGTGTGGTCTCTGTGCTTCGTCTCATTAAATCCATAATATAATTATCGCCAATGCGATGATAAATGAACTTGTATGAAATTACGAAATCAGGTCCCTGGCTTGGGGTTACAAAGAACTTCGAGTGCAAGATGTGCTACTACTCATGCGGGTGTAGGTCAATAATTGAGCACAACTAGGCGTGAGGCTCGTCGCGGCCGACGTGAACCTGATTCGCCGCTTATAGATCCAGCTCAAGCTTTGGCAAGTATGCGTCGCAGTGTACGAGTATATTTTCCACTGTGCGCGACTCGACTTCAGGGACGCAGAAATGTATGGCTTCGGGTGAGTGAACGACGAGCGAGCGTGCAGGGCTGTGCAGGGAGGTTGAAAAGCGCGCGCGTGGGAGAGAAATGATCGCGTCAAGCGCGAATCAACGAACCAGTCTTCGCCTTGCTTTCCGCCTTCACGACGGAGACCGAACTTCCGTCTGCCATATACATTCATCTCACTTTGCTGAACGTTCTCGATTGTTCGAGCGGTGTATTGTACCGGTTCTTCTTGCCCGCTGTCGGCGTGACTGGCAGGCCGATGGTTGAATGAGACAATCTGTAACGCGTCCGACTTTCTCATGTTCGGTCTGGATCCTAGATGATACACTGGGCTCAAACGCGAAGTGATGAGACTAGCTGAGACTGTTTACGCCTATCAGGTATCATGTGACGCCGTGCCAAGCGCTCGTATAAAGCCGGAAGACAATGGTCAGAATATCCTCACAGTTCTCTTCGGAGTCGTCAGTACCTTCCTTTTCCTCCAGATCCCCACATCCACTGACATTCTCCTCTAGCTTGTCCGCGTGTGTATTAGGCTTTATGGTGAGTCTAACTATTCTTCATCTTTCTGGACACCTCACTTACACGCCTTCACAGCCGCACGTCGTCCTTGGGAGGCTGCCGTAGCAAGCATTCGTGTAGGGGGTTGACGCTCACACGCACCGAGGCCTCTGGCTAGGTTGCGGGGTAGTCCAGCCGTGCTATCGTGGGTGCAAGTCTCCGGACGCGCATACGATCCCGATTAGTGCGGTTTGTGTGGCCGTCACAGCGGACGCTGCCTGTGAGCGCTCCGTCTGCGGGCAATAGACGAGGGCTTTCGCGCGTCTGCCCGACCACCCTCCTCGCGACCAGGCGAGACAGCGCCCTAGTGGTGCGGGGACTACCAGTCTAGACCCAACTGGTACCCCAAACGGCACGCGTGGCGTCTGGTTCTACGCGCGCTGTCTGACGGAAGAGTAGTAGTTCGCAGGCTCCCCTAATGTCACCGGCCTGGGGAGTCACATGTACGGACTTCATACCGTACGTTCGATACCTTCCTGAGCGGTACCCTGCCCTGGAGCATGCTTCTAGTGGACCCTTCGGGGTTCACCACGGAGGTCCCACGCCGTCCTGTTGTGCGCGCTAGCGACAATAGACATAGTCTGGCCTGCCCTGGAAGTTCTGTTCTAAACGGAGGCCTACCGTTCGGCCGGGTTATGGACAGCGAACTCGCTCAGGCGGCGCCGCCTTGTGCGGCGTGTCTTGCATCGCATGCCTGGTTACTGCCTTAGACGCCAGAGCCCCGCCCGTCCCGACTTCGGTCGTTGGCTGCCCCAGTGGCGCCGGGCTCGCTGTTGCCTCAACACGGCACTGACTCTGCAGACGGATACATACGCCGCCCTCCCCGCCTCACGCTGATCCCGAGCTGATCCCGTCGCCCGCTGTGGCCCCTCTGCCTGTGTCGCTGTCTTGACGCTGTCGACGCGCACAGGTTGAGCTCGCCCGGTCGCCGCAAGTCTGGCCGCCGCGGTCTTCAAGACGTTTCGCATGCCCAAGACCCGTTCAAAACTAACGCCACGCTTCACATTGTCACATTTGGTACGCCTATAGCAAACAACTTTGAGTATCGCCCCCACTGATTCGGAGACTAGGACCGACCTCATCTCGTGCTCCACTCTTCGTCTCTTCTCTTACCCAACTCAATCATGCCAGGCCATGGCGCTGATGATGTACGCACGTTTCAATGTGCGTTCATATGAGCTGTACCAGCTTCGTTCCGACGCTGACGCTCTCGACAGGCTCCTCGTCACTCCCGATCTACACTACCCTGCGTCTTCCCACATCTTCAGAATTCTCCCAGGCACTGTGTTGCTTGCGTGCTGTACCCACCCTCTATACTCTGCGATCGCGCGGACTCCCAATTAGTTCTTAGGGACCAGTCGAAGTAGGCGTCGCGAACCTACTTGGAAGGGGACCTGAGTGCTGACAGGGTGTCCAAGCAACGGCACGATTGTTAGGGACACTCCCTCTTGTTCACATCAGTCTGTACATCACTGTACCGCTGATGCAATGACAATGCATATTTGCCCATCACAACGCGCCATATATTCGTGCCATCGGAGTGATCTAACAATCTGTCGATACAGCTTACTTAACGCAAAGTATCGAAGATAGAAATTCAAGCATTCCCCTGCGCCTCGGCCAACATCCGCCACAACTCACCCAGCCGTTCATCAAGCGGCACAATTGGTCCCCGTCTGAAACTCTTCCTATCCACCCCGCGGAGAAGATCATAGACTACATCTACCTTGGGAATGCCATCCAAACGGCAACCCGCCTGTCTTCTGGAGCGCAAGCCAGCGACGAGCGCAACCGCAGCATCGTTGACGTCCCACTGATCTCGAACCCGATGTCCGAGTTCGCAGATGCGCATCGACCGCAATAGCGGTGTCGCTGAAGGATCGAGCACGGCTTTGATAACGGGCGCTAGTTTCTCGGAGGTCGTAAGATTGGTCCAGGTGAAGTCTTTGATAGAGGGGAACGAGTGTAAGATCCCGGCGATGCGATGAGAAGCAAAGGCGCTGGCGTCACAGCCCAGCGTAGACATTGTGAGAGACGATACTCTGCCAGGCTGCACAAGTTGAAGGAATAACTCATCGGACAAAAACGCCTCTGCTTCGTGCAGGTATTCCAGGCGGAGTGCCAGATCCTGCTCATGCGGCTCGAGGGCGGGCATCGCAACATTCCCGTCGGAGTGATTGTAGAGCGAGAACGTCAGGCGACCCGATTTTGGTGATGACCAGGGGAAGAAGGCGTTACTAAGACCGTCGCGCGCGTTTAGATGGTTTTTGTCGTCAGGGCTCAATCGCAAGACAGCCCTGTACTGACGCTCCGGGTTTGGTTGAAGACGTTCATTTATGGCTTTGAATAGACTTGGTAGAGGATCCTGATCATTGACGTGATTGCGGATCCATTTCTCGTAGCGCCAGGATACGACTGTCGTCGTTGGGAATTGTACGTGTTGGAGGAAGAATGCGCAAGGCACTGGCGCAACGACCAACTCGACGTGTGCGAGATGTGGCAGCTCGATCGGTTGTGCCTCTCCGTTCGCGTCCAGGAGACATCCGTCTAGCTTTAGATGAGTGAGCTGCGTAAGATCTCGGAGGTAGTCGATGAAATCCTTCGAGGTCGTTCGTAGGCGGTGATGCTCGAACTTGACAGATAGCGAGTGCAGGCCTTTTAAGACGCAGGGCGGAGGGAGGTTGACGAGCGTCAGTTCGCGGAGGGAAGGCAAGTTGAGATCGCTGAATGGGCTCGCCGATGCGACATAAGGGAAGTCCAAGCCGTAGTTATCGACCTGAAGCGCGGGCCATCCGGCAGATAAGGAGAGCTTCTCAACCCGCGAGACGTCCGTCGTCCGCAGAAACTTGAAAAACTCGATGGCAACGACCCCGGTAAGAAGCGCGGCTGTGATGCTATATGTCCGTGCGAAGAGTGCGGGGAAGTCCTCCAGTAATTCGTTGAGGCGGTTCGTCCCTGGGAAGAACGGAAGGTGCAACCGTAGCGGCGCGGGTCCCGCCCGCCCAGTCAATACCGAGATCAACCTCCTGACGTGGAGCGTGTGGCCTTGAGAACGTCGTTCTCCCGGGATGAGCATCGGCGCCAGCACATGTTGAGCCCACAGGGAGTGTGCACCACTGGCAACGTCGCTGAAGCGCCGACAGACCCGCATGAACCGGTAGAGCGCTTGCGGCGGCTTGACATCCGTACCATCGAGGATGTCGAGGATTTCGCGCAGGATATCTACGGGTACGCGATTGGTGTCGAAGGGTACCGAGGATTTAAGCGTATTTATGGGAGTATCGGCAGGGGGAGCTTTCTTCGTGTGCCTACTGCTGTGGGGTCAACTGGTCAGGTTTTGACGGCGTGAGACGTTCCCAGTCCAGCGCCACAGCTTACCTCGAACTGGCCGCCTTGGCCGTCTTTGCTTTTCCTCTCTTCCTGGGAGGCATAGCAGGAGGTAGTGATGGTGCGATCTAGGTAAGTAGGAGTATGTGGTAGGAATAATGGTTGTCAAGGCGTGTGTGGCCGGGATGTGGCCCGTCGCGTCGTCGTAGAAGTCTGCACAGCCATCAAGCGCCCACAAACAACATGTTGAAGGAGTTACACTCTGCGCTCCGAGAGTCCGAGGGTAATCGTAGCAGTTACATTACACTGAGCCAGTACTAGCTCGGCATATGATGGACATGCGCATCATGGTGTGGAGACCACCCGCAGTGCGCGCGCACTTCAACGCGAGATGTCACATTGTGATGTTCTGTCGTCACTAGCGCTTGCACTCCCAACCACTGGCCGTTTGGAGGAGGAAAGAAAGGAGGTGATATAGCATACATCCACTCAGAACCAAAACGCGCAAGCACAATTAACCTAATAATCCAAGCCTAGATAGATCCACCCAGTCTAATCGATCCTGCCCTTGACATCCCCGTACTGCGCCGCATCCCCCATAATGATCTTCTTCAACACCCACAGCACGCCCGCCAGCGCAACGACGACGCCGGCGCAGAATAAGAGGGTGTGCGCGATGATGAACCCTTCGAGCGCGACGAAGAATCCGTTCATCCGTCGAGCACCGCGCTCGAGGAGGTTCTCGCTATGTTTTGCTCGTAAGGTGCCGGAGAGGGCTGCGTCGAGGGTCGGGAATAGGTTTGATTCCTCGAGAGCGAGCGGGGTGTGTGAAGGTGTCTGGTCGTAGTATAGCAAGTTCTGCCAGGTGTGTGAGTATAAGTATTGATAAAAGCGGAGAGACGAATGTCACTTACGGAGTGGTCTGCGACGACGACCTGACCGGGCTTCGTGATCCCATACATGCTCTTCAACCACTTCTTCCATCGCCCTTGATCCATCCACACAAACACAACCTGTCTCCCCTCTCCGCCCCGCTGCGCGCTCAGTTTCTTCCACTTTACACCCAGCTTTGCAGCGTTTCCCGCCATGAACTCGTGTTCTGCGAAGTTATCTGATCCGGGTACGGCTGTGAGCACTACAAGCGGCGAGCCCGGTGCCTTCATCACTTCTTGGAATGTGTTGTCTGAGAGTTCGAGAGCGGACGGGAGACGGCGGTGGGTGAGCCATGTTGTGAGATCCGATGCGGAGTAGGTGGATGGGACGTGGAGGACGTCCGAGGGTGTGGTCATATCGTGATCCTTGAATGCCAGAAGCACTGGTACACTGGTAGGTGTGACGCCGTACCGCTGGAGGAACTGCGCCGAAGACGAAGTGTAGACTGGCGGAGAGCCGAGTAACGGGCGTGCGCCATTCACGAGCGCATTGATTCCACCCGTCTCGCCTGGCGCGTGGAGGTAGAGGAACACAACGGGGTGATCGAGGACGGCCTTGTCGAAGTCATCATATGAGATATGCTGCACAGTAGGTTGAACAGCGCGTTCGGCCCATGCTTTCATGCCCTCGATCTTCCTGCTACCTGTATACTCCGTCTTGGACCCATCAGCGCCATAGAAGAATAGCATCGGGAAGCCCGTGACACCCTCCGCATTACACAACTTCTTGTGCGCGTCGCAGTCGACTTCAGCGATAGTGAGCTGGTGTCGCATCGACCGCGCAAGCTGCTCCCATGTCGGCGCTAACTTCTTGCAGTGGCCGCACCAAGGCGCGAAGTATTTGATGAAGATTCCGCCGCGGTTTTTGGCCGCTGAGAAGGTTGCGGGGGTGAGTTGGAGTACTGTCCCGTCGGGATTAGGGTCTACGGTGGCCCATTCGGACGTGGATTCGGGTTCGGCGACGACGTGACCGTTCTTGGAGTTGAGTGAGATGGCGGTCTTGTCGGTGATGAAGTCGTCGAGCTTGTCTCGTAAGCGCGCGCCTTGGAATTGGCCGATGTCCATGCCGTCTTTGTACATTATTAGAGTGGGGTAGCCTTTCACTTTGTGATCGCTGCACAGGTCTGATGCGATTTGAGCTCTGAGTATATTGGGATAAAACGATGTAACATACCTCCGTTGACGGTGCAGTCAATCTGCGCGAGATTCACGCCCGAGCCCTCGTAATCCTTCACAAGCTCGTCCCAAGTCGGCATGAAAGCCTGACAGTGGTGACACCATGGCGAGAAGTGCTCGACAAACCTGACTAGTATTCATTATGATATCGCACTATACCGATATAGCCATACTTACCAGTACCCCTTTCCTGCTTTGGAAACGAATGTGGCCGGATCGAGTTGTAAGCGCTCAGGCTCGGCTTCGGTCGCGGTGACCGGAGATGCACCACCCGCGAGTACAAGATAAGCTAGAAATAGCGAGCATGGTAGAGTAGTCGGCCAGTTCAGCCGCATGGCGACAGCTTTAATCAGGCCTGGGTAGTGAAGGGAATGTGGAGAGGCGGAGCCAGACGAGCCCGCGTGCTAGCTGGAGGTGGTGGTGGGAAGGGAACGTGTACTCGCGTCTAAGTCGCGTTTCGAATCTTGATGGAGACCTTCATCTACTCCCACCTCGACCTCCACGTCCACATCGCCCTCTTCCACGATGTATCAAACTCGGCAGATATCAGGAAGAGGATTATAGCTGCGGCGACTCTCAAAGGCGAAGAAGGAGACGCGGAACGAGAACGCGTTAACTTTGCTTTCGTCGACGCACGCTTGGTGCGCTGATGTTCACGTTCGCCTGGGTTGGGGGCTAAGATCGCTCAGGTGACAAGCTTGTTGCATTTCCAGACGGCGATATATCAGGCTATTCTGTCGGAGAAGCAGGGCGCTTTGAGGACCAAGACCGTGCATTCTGAGATCTTATTCGCGTTGAATCCCAGTAACAATGTTCGAAGCTCCCACACTCATTCTATGTCCGGTACTGAGGACGCATCGACAGATCACTGAGGCGATCAGGAGATACGGCGTTTCGGATACAACGTCTTCACTCCTCGTGGTTCGCGTTGCATCGCCCGATCTATCCGATGTCGAAGGAAAGATGAGGGAGGTCGTTAAGGGTGGTATAGAGCCATTGTCAGCGCTCGAGAAGGATACCGATTGGGCTGCGGTGAAGAAGGTTGGTCCTTCCGTCATCTTTCTACTACATCATCCTCACGCGCAACAGTACCATAAACTCAACACCGAGCCTGCGATCAAAGAGGCCGGGAAAGATGTCGCCCGAGAACGGGTGATCGTTGACAATATCGTGACGAGCATGGTCGCCATGAAGAGCGTCATGCAGTAGCCTCGACTCTACAAAGCGGATCATATTGTAGCATGTGCGCCGATCTCAATATCGCGCATCCCAGTCATGACGCTAACGTTCGACGCAGACCATACACCTCATTGTAGCCTACCAACCTGCTCCGAGTCATACTTCGTGTGAGTATCCCTAATCCCGTACTGTCTATCGGACTGAGGCTGTGATGACTACCAAACTCGACTCTTAACGAATGCGCATTGCGCATCATGAGCTCCTCTACAACGGTAACTGAGCCTCTCGCACTTTGACTGTGTGATCGCACAGAGCTGCAGAGTCATCGCTGATCGCCTTTCATCTTGCAGATCTTGTCAAGTGGAAGTATCTTCGATGGCGCGTGGTCGATGGGTGTTTGCGTTGCTCGTTTGTATCCAGTAGCACCCATCATGATGCGCAATCCGATCACTTCAGCCGTCATGCTTGTCTTTTCTGCGATTCAATGTCAATACCAGAACACTCGTGAAGTGGAACATCGCGTACTGGGCAGGACTGCACGCGCCTCAGTCCGCGAGTACTCAGTGACACGGGTGCGGGCGTTTGAGCGCTTACGAGCTGTGGGCGTCTGATGATGGCTGTGCGGTCATCCACGCATATAAGCACTTCTTGAACTTGACGACGCTGTCCGCGTCCCACCGCCCTCTCTTACACCAGGACTCTTTGTATGTCAGTGTGCATATCCAATCCTATTCTTTATGCCGCCTAGGAAGAGAGCAAACACCGCGAAGGCGAAAACCAAGCCTGCAGCTCCCAGGTGAGTTTCCAGCGCTGTATAGATGTCAACATGTTCACTTACCGACGCACTCGGCGTCTCCAGCAAGACGATCAAGCGGAAGTCAGAGCCGAAAGGCTCTGCACCGACCGTGGACCTCACACCGGACGACGTACAACCGTTCGAAGCCGGCCGGCTGCCGACAGAGATCCTCTGCGAGATCCTCAAGTGCTTCAACGATATGGACGACAAGCCGCCGAAAGCACTCTGCTGCTTCATGCGAGTATCTCGCCGTTTCCGGGACATCGCGCTCGCTGCGCATTCGCTCTGGGCTCAGCACGTTGGCGCGCCTACGTTCCTCGATGAGAAGGGTGGTCCCGTGATGCATGATCGTCATGTCAAGAAGTTGATTATGTCGATGGTCAATCGAGCAGGACCTGCGCTTTTGGACTTGCGAGTTCGCAAATGGTATCAAGGACCGGCACAGTATCAACAGCAGGCGAAGTTACTACCTACCTTACTCCCTCGATCCCGAAGTGTCGCCACGGACCTGAACAGCTCTGCGTGGGGACTCATCATATCTTTCTGGGAATCCTTACAGTCAATGGACCTCCAGCACCTCGAGGGTCTATCCGTCACCGCTAGCTGGTTTATACTCCCCCATCACGGATACGCATCTCACTTCCCATATAACACATCGCCGGGACCGTTCGACAAGTTGCATCTGCCGGCTCTACGCGCTCTCGCCCTCAAACATGTCCTTCCTCCTCGTGTATTCCCCGAACTACGCGAGCTCTCTCTTCATCTGGACCATCACCTTCCATCGTCGTCGAGGATGTTCATCGACTACGTCCGCGCTCATCCTCAACTCACACAACTCACGCTGCACGACTGCCTTCGGGACGATCAGGGGCCCGTCGACCCCATCGAACTCCCACACCTCGAACGCCTCGAGGTGACGTGTAGACCGAAGCCTTGTGCCTTCTTCCTCCGTCATGTGCAATTCCCCCGGGCCACGGCTATCATATGGCAGTACGATAAGACGAAGTGGTACGGTAACGACGAGGATTGGACTTTAGACGAGATACTCAAGATCATGAACGAATGCATGGAGCCGGATCCGGCACGCCCGTATCGCGCTTTCCTGCGTCTCAGCAGAGGCAAGCATAACCTTCCCGGAGACGGTCTCAACAACAAGACGTTATCGCAATCTGAAGATGTTCACGTTGTCTTCGCTCTCTACCGCGTTACGAGCAGGGATTTGACGCCGCGCACGTTTGATTCGCTGAACGACCCAGATCTGGTTTTGCGCGTGGAAACCGACTTTGAACAAGACGCGCTCGTGTCTGGCGATGACTTCCTTCGCATCGTTCATCCTAGCCATATATCCGCTTTGACAATGTCTATCCTCGATAGTCAGACGAGCGCATTCGTACACAAACACGCCTCAAATATCCTACGCTCTTTTTCAACCATAACGGACTTCACATGGCTCAACCTCACAACGCCCGGAAAACTCGCGGGAATGATCACATCCGTCCTCGATCCATCAACATCACCGCATCTGAAATCGATGTGTATCAAAGAGCTAGGACACGTTCAGACGCGACAGGGATGGAGAGGCAATGTGGCGGTGTCTGCGCTTTGCGAGGGGCTGAAGGCGAGGAGGAAGGTAGGGTGCGCGTTGAAAGGCGTGCCCGAGATTGGCAAATTGTGGGAGCTAGGGAAGAGCAAGTCTGATAAGACGGTTCATGAGCGCAAGGCGCCGATTGAGCAGGGGAGCGAGCGTTGGGAGGAACTGTTGAGTGCGCTGGCTGAAGCTCAAGGAGCAACTTGAATCATTACGGTCTCCAGCACCAGTAAAGCTTTTGCCAAGTACAAGGTCCAGCTTGAGACCATATAGCAAATGCCTTCGAATACCGGTGAAGTGGAAGGGAAGAGCGGATCCGCACGCAGGAGAGCGAAACATGTCAGTCACGAATCAACATCACGCGTGACAAGTCGCGTCGACGCGTTTAGCCTTGTGAGCCGCGCTCAACCCCTTCTCCCGAACGGCGAGCACCGTCGTCTGGCCGCCGATAATACATGCCATGCTCAAACGTCTTTCGACGATGCTGCTTTGCATATGACTCAAAGGGCCGATAATGAGTTCTTCTCTCCTGCTCGTGTGATATAAGTAGGGTATTCGCTGACCATCTGCACCGAGAGTCCGAGACAGGCAGAGTGACTGACTAGTAGACCTCGAGTTTAAGCCGACAAGCTCGTTTCTCCTTCACCAGTCTCACTCCACCAGTCTCACCGCGAATGTACTGATGCATGAAGCCAGCTCTGACATGGCAGCGGCTTAGATGACAGAGCTCGAACAGGGAATGCAAACATGCGCGGCATGCGTTCCGTCCAAGATGGCACCAAAGCAACCGCTAGCCTCTCACCCTCACCATCTTTTTGCGCATCCCACCCTCTCCTCTACTCCCCCTAACCTGACTTTGACCGACGCGATACCCCCCTCCTCTTATCACCCCGATGTATACTGCCACTAAATCTTACGCTCCAGTCCCGAAAGGAATGGTCCTGTACGCCGTATCCAAAGGCTCTGGTAGGTACTCTGCGTATTTCTGCATGATTGTTTGCTGACACGCCTTTACAGACGATTTTGACTCTCGGGTGCGGCGTGGCGAGAACCTCGCGGTGGCCTTCGGTGCCCCGGAAGCAGATGAAGTTCGCTACTTCGAGGGCAGCGGAGGACGACCTTCATGTCAAGCACATTACTATCAGGCGGGCTGTCCTGGGGAGTTCTCCGTGTGTATCATAAATCCTTCATGTCTACATACTCATCTGATGGGTTCTCGTTTCAGTATACGTTCATGGAGAAGGAGCTTCGTCGTGTTGTCGACTCGTTGACGTTGCCGCGAAAGAAGCAATACCGTGATGGCATGTGAGGCTACACTTTCCTCCCATCTTAGTTTGTACCATTCTGAAAATGTTGTGTTGTAATAGTGCGGCCTTCGAAGTGTACGTTCACCACCTTGTATACTCTGATGCGAAAGTTAATGAAGACCGCCAGCTTCGTATACGACGCCAAAACTCCCATTCATCAGCTACCTTGTCATATCCAAGCCACGACTCCTTCACACGATTCTAGCAGGATCTTTGGGTCCACGTCATCCAAGAGGAAGGCACTACACACTAGCCAACCACCTGCGATCTCCTCAACGAATGTTGGTGCGACTGAACAGAAGATCGTCGGCACTCGAAAACGTGGCCCGCCCCCTTCTCCACAGTCACCAACGACCTCCCCGTCTTCTCCGAAGCGCTTGCGACGCAAGGCTGGACGTCCGCCGTCTACGCGGTCCGGCGCCGCTTCTGCTACTATGCTATCAGCTGATCCATCCACTACGAGAAAGATACCTCCCGTCTCCCATGCGCCCGGTCCCTTTCAATTCGGCATACCCACTCCCGAAGCCTCCCCTGTTCTCCCGGCCTATGTACCCCCTGCCTCTATCGCTGCGGAGGGCTCGGCGGCATCTTCGAACGCAGCATCGGTTCCGGTCGGTCTTGGTCTGGTATTGACTCGGAGCGCGCCCATCATAGACGACATGATGCAAAACTTCCAAGATTTGCGCTCGTTCATGGAGAGCACGCTTGAAGAGCACGGCATTCCTCTCCCCGATTCGTGTAACGCATGTACGTCCACCCTGCCCTTCTATCGTATCGTGATGTACGAGTGCTAACACGCTGCTTACAGGGGCTACGGTACAACTTCTGAGCGATACGCTTCACATTGCGCGAGAGGAGCTTGCAGCAGAGCGTCAGGCGCTGGAACACGAGCGTCGGGCGCATGAAGAGACTCGCTGTCTCCTGAAGCATGCGAATGGACTACTGGGCGAAGTAGCGACGGCGGTCTCGGGCTACGCGCAGGGTGATGTCGGGTGCATACGAAGGCCCAAGGAGCCGCGAGGCTTGGAACACGGTGGCTGATAGTATTCTCGTCTGTTTGAAGTACTTGTGTCTATCGTACTTCGCAACTACTCTATGATACACTCTTGGCATGCTGAATGTCAGGCATCTTGCCGACTGAAAGCAGGGATCCTATGACGGGTTATGTGGCGTCTGCTTGAGCCTTCTGCACGCTTGCTTGTGTCCATTCTTCCAATCACTATCGAGGTTGCCGTTTAGTTAGACCCTGTAAGGACGAGTGTAGGCGATGAGACATACCGAGACTGACAAAGCGTCCCGCAATACCTCTGGCGTATACTTCAGTTCAGCAATGCGGTATCACTGACATGGGCTCACCGCTTCTCCACAGCCAGTGCATGCCTTGGGCTGATCGGGTACCTCTATGGTGTGCCACTGACATTCTCTCCATGAGCATAGTTTGAGCGCGCGCTTCTCATACTCTCTTCGTTCCTGATCCGCATCAAGCCCCATACCAGCTATTCCTACCTTGTACCAAGCTTGTCGGATATGGTGGTCATTGTGGTGTTTTATTCGACCACCATAGATTTTTGCTCACCGGAGAGATTTTTAGCCGTGGCCCGGGTTGCAGAGATTTTCGGCCCGGCGCACCATCATAGAGAGTTTCGGGCCGGTCGTTCCAGTCAGAGAGCATAGAGAACACCGGCCCGCCCAAGTCCAGAGTTTTCGCACTCCCGCACAAAATATATAGAGAGTTGAGGTCCGACCCTAGAGTTTTGGGTCGGCCTCTCGTGCCACATCATCACCCGGGCTCTCCGCGCGTTTATAGCTGCGCGAGCGCCCACATGAGGCTTCCCTCCGCTCCCAATGGCGCACTACGTGGCGGTCAAGGGAAAACGCTTGCACGATGAACTCACATGACCGTGTCCGCGTCCTGCGTGCCGCGACGCGCGGCTCGCAAGACGTACTCGCATTTGACATGCACGATCATACCTTGTGAGATCCCGTCCATCAAGGTTCACTTGAAAGAACTCGCACTCAAGTCAGTAGTCAATGCACAAGGTGTGTATTGAGCTGGTGGGAGGATGAATGGAGCCAAGCACAGCGGGGTATGTAGAGGCCAATGACACTCAGGGCGTAAGCTGATGCCAGACTCTGATAGGATGGTAGGGGGTGTGAAAGGGGTTGGTCAGTGCAGGCAGGCACTGTAGCTGGTGTATGTCAAGTGTGACAAAGTAACGTAAGGTGAACAGTCTGGGGAGCGTAACCTGGAGGGCATATTGAATGAGACAAAGAATTAGCGCAGATAATAGGAAGATGCTATAAGCTAGGGATTGGGGACGTATGTGAACATTAGAGATGTAGGAAAATCATTGTGCAAAGGGGTCGAGAGCTTGAGATAAGCCAAGGGTAGGCCGTGGACGGAATGGGGCTTGCTGACGGGTTGGAAGGACGCGGCGATGTCCACCACGTGCACCGCGGGAGTAACCGTAGCGTTGGTCATCCTCTTCTGAAGATTGCACACTGCCATCTCCATCGCTGTCTGTATCTCCAGTGAGATCAACATCTACTGGCGTTGATGTAGCGATAGGTGCAAAGTCGATATCTGGAATCATTGATTAGTATACAGCGCGCTATTGAAAGAGGCTGAACTGACCAACACCGCCTGTGACAGCATTACCATCCTCAACAGGAACATCATCACCCATGGAAAGACTTTGCATGCTGGCATAGATAAGATTAGGATCAGGCGCCAGTTCACTATCCGAAGCAACAACGGTCGCCGCTATGCGGCTGTCAGAACATGTAGAGACGGCATGAAACGGCTTAGATACGCACAGCTGTTGCTCGCCACAAGTGGATGAGTAGCACTGGCAGATGTGCTTGGTATGTTGGTATGCTGAGTGGCCTGTATAGGTGACGGGGAACGCGTGGCTATATCTGTATTAGCGTTGAAGAAGGGCAACTAGCCAAGTGACGTACCAGCTCCGTCTCGCTCAACGTCCTCAACATCTCCATCACTCATTCCAACATCCTCTACCTCAGTCAGACTGCTCATATCACCATCAAGGTGGTCCTCTATGGCGTCACCATCCTGCTCTATCTCATCTGCGTCACTTTCGGAAGACGCCGACACCGATGACGCAGCCCTACGCCGCTTATAGCCCGAGTGCTTGGGAGGTGGCAATGGTGATGGTGATGATATGTCATCGCGAAGGGGAGGGGGCACATCTCCAGGCTCATTGCGCGCTTCAAACCATTCATTGAGAACACCATCAGGAACAGGCCAGCGACTGACTGTAGGCCCGTATGAGCTAGTTCTTTTATGCAACAATACCAAGGACACATACCGAGCACGATCTTGCGACGTCCCACATCATTTGTAGCGTCAAAAGTACACGCTCTATACTCGGACTGTAGTAGAAGTTGACCTTTCGCTGGTTTCACGATCCGGAATTTGCCGTGCTTGCCCTTCTGTTTGAATGCAAGAAAGAAGACTGAGTTGGTGATATCTGCTTGGCGCCGCGTACACTCTTCATCTGCCCAGTTATCAAAGTCGGGGAAGTGTTCGCGTAGGAAGGCCATGTAGCCGCTATGACTGTCGATGTCGCTTGGAATCCTGATACCACTTGGAGAGTCAGCGCTCTTAGCAAGCCCGTAGGCGCGCAGGGCAGGATAATCAGGAACCTCAATACCGCCGTCCTGTACGGTACTTCAGTATCAAAGACAAGCAGATGCTATTGCATCTCACGTACCTTGTCAGGCGGATAGGGCACAAGGAACAGTTGACCGACACGATAGTCTGGGGACTTCTTGGATGCAGCGCCAGTAGGGGGTTTGGAAGGTTTGGGTGGTTTAATTGACTGGATGTAGGCTTAATGGCTGCAGTACACAATACAGAAAAGGTACTTACCGGCTTTGCGGGTACCTCATCTTTACGGCGGCGATCCTTGAAGCCATACACCGTCTCATCGTGAGCTCGGGATATCGTTGCCAGACAGGATATCGAACGTTCTACCTTTGAGGGTGCCTTCTCTTTGCCCTTCCTCTTTACAAAGCGGCCTTGACCATCACGCTTAGTTGAAGTCGGAGGCAGAGGTCCGGATTCCGCCGATGACGAGTCGCCAGACGCATCCTCATCCATGAGCTTTAGGGCCCTTTCATGCGCTACTATGCCCAGCGAAGAGCTCGAAGATGGCTGGCGGGGAGTGTCAACATATTTGGACATGATGTTGCGGGCCGTATTTGCGAGAGACGGTGTAGAAGCGTTCCGGTGACGAGATGCTCCAGGCTTGGAGGAACCTTGAGTGAGGCGAATCTTCTTCCGGGATCCCTTAGGGTTACGATTAGACATGACCAAGAGCGTAGGCTAGCTGAGCAAGTCAAGGGAGAGATAAGGTGAAAAGGGAAGATGAAAGAGAAGGTGGTGGTCAAGAGAGAACCGGCAAACGGCACGAGGTAAATGCGCTGGCACTCAGTTATATTGCCTCGTGTTGATTGTGATCGGTTATAACACCCGCATACACGTTTCCTAAGCCGCATGTTGCACCTTGGAGAGCGGTTGTGATACTGGAGTACTAAGAACCTGAACACGTATGATGCGCTGCCTTTGATACAAGCTGGAGGTGGGAGAGCGAGTAATGTAGCATTGAGGGGAGGCGCTAAGTAACTTGACTATGTGACAAAAATTGACATAGTCTAGCGTATGAAGTGAATTGATCTACTTGACAAAGTTAGTGTGTAGAGGATGTGGGAAGAGACAGATCGACACACTTAAGTCTGAATGATCTGAGGTTCCTTCCAATGAGGCGCAGGATAGACGGCGCAGAACTCCTCAATCTTGCCTCGAAGGAGAATGTATTCCTTTCCAAAATAAGGATCCAGCTCCTCCGTATCGTCCGCGGCAGATATTCCAATGCGCTGGGTGCGCTGTAGATCACTTTTGACGCTCCGGAGCATGGATGAATGGCAGGATGAACAGAGGCCGGTGTCTTTCGAGGTGGCCTTCAAAAGTATCACCTCAGCGAAGCTGGGCAAAGACATGGGAAAGTCGCGTTGAATGAGGTTCGGGGCAAAGCTTATGCGCCAAGCCATATCCCACGCCTCCTGGCACTTTATCACTGTCTCGCACATTGGGCCAGGTCGAAGTGTGAAGGGAGACTCATGAGCGCAATGAAAACGTATGCGGTCAATCTGCTTCTCCAGCAAGACAAGCCGTTGAACGTCATGAACACCCGAAAGAATAGTCTGAAGATGGGGTGAGCGCCACATGACTAGAAAAACACACGTGAGTCTACGGAAAGCAGAAAGTATCAGGTTCCCATACCACTTGGCATAGTGAGCAATGACATATATGTCTCTGGCAGGAGCAGCCACTTCTTGACGCCACAGGCCATTGCAACAGCAATGCGGGTGAGAGGAGTCCACATTGACTGCCAATCCTGTGCCAGTGTACTGACGGCCACTGACTCGAGTTGGTTAACTGCCTCAAAGTAACAAACACGGGACATCAGGTAGCGGGAGAGCTTGAGGTTAGATATGATATCGGATATCGTGGCGGGGTGGTCGTTCTGAGTCCCATCCTCCATCCTGACTATAATCAGCAGCGGAAATCATCCAAGTAAGCAAGACTGCCTACCGTCCGGGACCGAAGATGCGACGGAAGAATGCTTCAATAGCCTTGAGTTCAACGTTCGATGGAAGGAATATAGGATGTGATTCGCTAAACCCCTCGCCAACGCCATTAGGTCTGGCCTCAGCGTGAGCTATGAGCTCCTCTAGCAGGTCCGAGTGGCGCCTGAGTGAAAACGGAGGGACACGCATGATTGTTCTCTCCACCTTTAGCAAGTTGGATGAGATGGAAATCATGTTTACAGGACTGAGTATCTCACCACGAGGCATAGAAACCGGCCAGGGGAAGGATCCCAAAACTCCGCCGAACGTTTGACATGTATGAGCTCAGATGCTTCAGTGGGAGGAAAGACTGCAATCTAATCATGTTTCAATACAAATGCTTGCACTAGTTGAATGAGAAATTGACCTTATCGTTTGAAGCTGGCGCTTTCTCCATTACTAGGACGATGGTGGCAGAGAGCAAGAACTGACAACGTGGCTCATCTAAACACGTGCGCCTGGGCGCATGACCCGTGTGAACAAGTCCGGATGACCGAAGATCTCCAATCTAGTCCACAATCTCATCTGTACACCTGTACACTGTACCATCATGTCTGGATATCCTTCACTACCCGTACCATCTCGGAACTGCGTATGGTCGCGTCAAGTCTTGACATCGCATCATCGCATCGCAGACAGCTGCAGCTTTCTACTGAACGTCTTATCTCAAGACGATACAGATGTGCTCCGGTTCAAAGTGTTCAAGGATAACTTTGAAGCGCAAACACTCACTTTACACTATGCGCTCTGTGGGGAAATGGACGGGGCCAACAATGTTCACGTCCAATGGGTGGAAGTAGCATCGAAGCGCCTGGCACGCATCCAGCGCAAACTTGCGATATCTATACAGGCTAGGGAGAATCCAAGGTGAGCATAGCTCAGGACTAGCACAGTATCAATCTGAACATAGACAGTGGAGAGCAGGCACGTTCATTGTACCATCTGGATCCAGTCACAGTGGTACACAGCGGGAAGCGTGGACGCCCTCGCAAGGTCATCAATGAGCAGTGGTTGCGCGCCGCCTTTGCTTCACACCGGAAGATCACCGTATCCCAGGTGGCCAAGACTCTCAAGGTCGACCGTCACCTTGTCATGAGAGCTATGGAGGCATATGGCATTGAGCGCAAGTTCACCGCCCTACTTGATGAGGAGATCGATCTCCTTGTTCGCTGCTATAAGGTGGAGCGACCCGGCGATGGATTGCGTTACATCAGAGCTTACTTTCGGTACAATGGCCTTCGGATCCAGAAAGAACGCATACGACAGGCTGTTCGGCGCGTTGATGGTCTGGGGATGGCGGAGCGCAAGGCACCGGAAGTACGTCGGGAGAAGTACGAGGTGCCGCGTGCAAATCACCTATGGCACTTGGATGGCCACCATAAGCTCATTCCTTGGGGATTTGTCCTGCATGGTTGTGTAGATGGATTTGATGACTACGTGCGTCCTAGATGCCATCAGGCCAAGTCTACACTCATATGCAACACACAGATTACCATGCTCACGGTCAACACAAACAACCGCGCAGGAACAGTGCTTCGAGACTTTGAACGCGCTGTACAAGAACATGGTTGCCCTTTGAGAGTTCGGGGAGATCGGGGTGGTGAGAACGTGCTTGTTTCGGCCTACATGATTGTTCGCCGTGGTGAGAACAGAGCATCATTTATGTGGGGATCGTGCGTACCTTTGTGACACAACCTTGATATACGTCTGACACCTATTAAGATCTACTCATAACCAGCGTATCGAACGGTTGTGGAGAGAAATCGGTGCAACGTTTGCAAGGGCATGGCGGGCGTTCTTTCATCAGCTTGAGAGGTTCCATTACCTCGAGCGATCCAATCCTCACCATCTCTGGCTTCTGCGGATACTATTCCAGGAGGAGCTTCAGAAGGATTGTGACGACTTTGTCAAGTACTGGCATGTACATGAGATGCGGGGCTCGCGCCGGAATGACCGTACACCTGACGTACGTTCCTATCATTGCTTGAGTACAGGCCATTCACAGACTGTATCAGGACATACGCTTTCTCTCCATGGTTGATGAAGGCGCATACGAAGACCCATACGTGGATGTCGATGCCGATGTTCTGGAAACATATTATGGTGTTGCCGGGAAGCCGCGTAAGTGGAGAGCGAGGCAAACAGGAGCCGGTCAAGATGCGGAAGAAGATGACGAAGCTAGTGATCATCTTAGTGAAGAGGATGAGGATATGGATGGCAATGAGAGTGGTAGTGAGGAGGAAGCGCGCGCTGCTCTAAATGCGCAGGAAGCATGGTCATTTGAAGAGGAAGAGGACAAGAGCGAAAGCGAAGATGATGGGGATTTGATATCCCGCGCAGCTGCCACTCAGCAACCAAATATTCGTCACGCCGCTATAAAGGTGCGAATCACTGTGGGTCAAGTTCAGTACAATGCTCAGTCCGTTCAGGTTCCGCGTGTAGCCAATGCTTTTGTGAATGCGGAGCGTCTCTCCGACTTTTTGCAAGTTCTACAGCAACTTGACGCAGCCGGAACCTTACCAAGGCATCTCTGCGCTCGTCCACGGGATTGGGAGCGTCAATGGCCAGGGAGTGGTTATCCTACCTGGGGTCCTTTAGTCATTGGTCAAGCGCGTAGACAAGTGGCCATTGACCTACCCCACGAGATATGGATACCGCGCATGCAACATTGGTGTAGGGCGCTTGATGCTCTTGTACAGTTCCAGGTAGATGGCAGAGGAATGGCCTGATATAGTTCACTAGACGGATAAGGGAGAACGGCTGTCACAAGCAATGGATTGAGATAACGTGTATAGTAGTTTCCAAGCGCAACGTTACTGTACTGTGGATGCTTTCTTGCTCTTCTTTGACTTGTGCGCACTTGGCTTCGCACGGGGCTCTCTCTAATATTTACCTGGTCTTCCTTTGAGGTTCTGGTAAAGTTCTAGGTCCCTAGTATCCCGTGTCAGTATAAAGACTGAGGCAATGGAGTGACGACTTACCGCTCATATAATGGCTTGATGATCTCCCAGGCGCTTTGAACTTGAGCGTGGGTCAATAAACGTGGAACCGCAAATGACGCTGCCGACTTGTGGGAGGCCACAATATACTGTAAGTCCAAGTTCCTTAACGCAAACGCCTTTGGCCACCGTGACACTTTGCACAAAATGTGCTCAACAACAATCGGATTGAGGTGGAGGGCGTCCTTTGAGTTGCTGTCAAGATGGGCCGCAAGGTGGCTATAGACCGCTTGAAAAGCCACAGCAACATACGCTTGGCGGATGACGGGGTTGCTGGCCTTCGGAATGTAGAAGCCAAGTTTGGTAAGACCAGACACCGCACCCAGCATCCACCCATCCTCCGCAATCCAAGCGCTGATTGACCAGACCGTTGGTAGTTGACATATACCGAGTATAGCGAGGTTATTGGCGAACTGTAGAGCTGTCAGGCCATGGCCAAATGGTGCAATCCCCAGATTGCGTGTGAATGCAAGAACGGCGCTGTGAGTGGGTCTCTCTGATAGCGGAACCTCAGAAAGGTCATCGCAGTCAAATAACGGCCCTAAGAACTTCGCCCAACGGTCCTGGATGTCATCCGACCATCTCTCCTCACACCATTCCTCGAAGCTCTTCTTATCGCTGAAAGGATTGAGGTGATTGTTTGCTGAACCCCAGATCTGGCTATTGAATAGCTTCCATCCCTTGTCCTTTGCCAAGGCGAAGAGATCGGCACAGTCGGCGACAGATGACATGGTGCTCCAATCGTGATGGCGTGCAAAGGTCTGCGTTGCTAGACTCTGTCCGCTCCCCTGCCAGCAAAGTAGGCGCGAGATACCGGCTCTTGATGTCACAACTCGTGGAGATTGTCCAAACGTGTTGCAGACAAGTTCAGAATACACGTTCGAATAGCGCGCGATGTCGAAGGAGTCCTTGTTGCTGAATGGGAGAACCGCATCCCCTGTGATTGGATGTCTGCCTTCAAGGACGTTACGCGCGTAGTGACACTCCACCGACTTGGGATCCTGAGCATATCTGGTCCGCTCGTGTACGAGATAAGACAGGATGCCGACACCCAAGTCATTGTTATCGCGCATAAGGGTGGAGATGTCCATAGACTCGATGTGTATACAGGCCTCCGAAGTATCTTTTGAAGGCCGTGCGCGAAGTGGGCGGGGATTGAGAAGTCGTCCGATGGGTGTTGTAGCAGTTTTTGCAGAAGGGAAGCAGGCCTTCCACAGATGCTCGAAAAGGGAATCACAGAGCGGTGTAGAAGTGAAGGATGCGGCCGCGAGAGCGTCAAGTCGACTGCGAAGAGCTGCGAGATCACGACTCGTACGGTTTTTGATAGCCTGCGCCAGTTTTGCATTGTTGCGGCTCGTGGGCGACAGAAGTTGAGGGAATGTGACCCAATCTGCAAGCAAGGTGTCCATGGCAGAGGCGCAGAAGATCGTATCGTGACCATCAGCTGCAAGGTATATGGCCTCGAGAACAGCGCCGACAAGAAGAACCTGCTGTTCAGCATCTGCGGCGGACTTCTCCTGGGCGGTGCCTTTGCGCGGACGTTTGGCTGAGCCCACACCCTCCGCCCGCTTGTCCAATAGGGCGGAAAACCGGATAAGCTCGCCGCACATGACATGGTCACGTATTACAGTCTGGAAGCACTGTATAAGACGGTTTGTTGCTGTCGTAGGTTTGGAGCTGGGTTTGAGTGGAGGATTGGGATTGGGAAGAGAGATATCGGCGGTAGTGGATGGTGACGTGCCAGCGCACAAAGCCCGCAAGGGTGTGACAACGGACTGCGGAAGTGCGGCCGGATTGCGGTTCTCGTCGTTGAGTAGGGTTTTGCTATCCTCTTTGATGCGTCGCAAGGCTGAGAGCTCTTTGCCGGTAGCGGACTTGTAACGGTGTCCGATAAAGACGGCAATGTGAAGAAAGAGTTCGGCGCAAAGCGGAAATTGCTTGCGAACACCATCTGGTCCTTCAGCGGACAGGGTGGATAGCATTGCTGTCACAAGCTTCTCGCTATCATTGGACAGCCACCAGTAGACCGTCAAGATCATGCCGCAAAGCTGCCAGGTCATGACACGAGTGAGGAGATGCAATGATGAAAGGGAGCCCTGCACATCCGCGAGGAGACCTGAAGCAGAGAGCGCGCGTTGCAGTGCAATATCGGATGTTACTGCCTCATCGCGCTGTACCTCGTCATCAGGTGGGCCCTCATCATCCGAGTATGCTTCGTCCCCATGCTGCGCCTGCTTATTGGCCGGTGCCGGGTCTGCGGTTTCCGCATGGAGGGCAAGATGCGTATGGCAGCGCGATACAACCTCGGGGAGAGGTCCGGATGGTCCAGATGTGACGGCTTTTGCAGACATGACAACTTGAAGGTCGGCCGCAAGATGGTTGTTGCTGAATAAGACGCGTATACTCTCCAGTCCATCAACATGGGGGTTTTCGGCCATGAAGCGCTTGATATCCTCCTCATAACCCCTGTATGTTTGTGTCAACAATGAAGCAGAAAGCACTGTATCTTTACTCACTTGAGCTCAAGCCTCGTTTTCCACGAGCGCTTTTTGTTCACCTGGGGAAAGATGACCGCCCATTCTTCTCTCCCGTATTTTTCCTGTTGCCTGGTCAGAGTAAAACTAAAATAGACGCGATACGACATACCCGATAGTCAACAATCTCAACCGGTGGAAGAGAGCGCTCCAGCGGCAGCTCATCTTCCTCCTCATCGTCACCCGC